TTTAGTCTTTTCCCATAGTCCCATATTTCTTGGAGGCTTTGCTTGTTTCTTTTTACTCTCTTTTCTCTAAACTTCTCTTCTTGCTTCATTTCATTCATTTGATCTTCAATCACTGATACCCTTTCTTCCACTTGATCAAATTGGCTACTGAAGCTTGTGCATGAGTCACAAAATTGAGATAAGAGGTAGGAGACTTCAAGCACAGTGGCTCAGCACGTGTGTGTTCAGGGCAAGTGAAGGTTCCCCTCCACTGGATTCAATGACTAAAGATTATGAAGATACCAAAAATGCAAGAAGTCATAGGAGATAGCTTTTCTCAATGGCAAAGATGACACAAGTAGAATGGTTAAGAAGGAAGGTTTATTGGCTTCAATTTCCCAGCTGATGTTCAACATTTTATTTAGTTCTCATTTGGATTTTAGACATTTGCTTGAAAAATAATTTTACATCAATTTCAATTTCTTTGGAAAGCCCCCACATGTAATTTATTGATAACATCTCTGAAGAGCAGAATTAATGATTTTTCCCAGCTGTTGCTGCAGATCAGGTAGAGTAGAGGAGGCTGAAGACTGCCACAATGGAAAACATCTGTATTGTCTCAAAACATTAGGATGGTACGGATACTGCAGTAGGAAAGAAGAGACATTGCATTAACATTTAGACAACCCACATGCTTCCATGTGAGAGTCCAAGGAGCATTTGAAATGCCTAAGTGAAAATCTGTCTGTTCTCAGTCACTCTAATCCCACCCCCATGCATTTGGGTCAAGTCAAGTCAAAGGAAAGTTCATCTTTTTTGGTTTTCTCTTGTGTTTTCCTCAACTTTAAGCTCACTCACAACATTCTGAGTGTGCCTGTCGTTTAGACTTCAATACCACATTAGCATCTTCAAAAAATCATTCTTGTGTGCCCATGTTCCTGGTATAATAAGGAATATAAAATACAACAATGGATAATAACTTGTGATAAGTTTTTGCTATTTGTCACATTCTTCATGCATTTTCTCACTTAAACTTCAACCTAAACATCAACATTAGGAGGTAGGTTTTCATATTATTTTGATTTTAGAGATTACAAACACCAAGACTTAGAAAGATTTGTAACTTTGTCTGGTCGCACATCTAGTATAGAGTTTTGGAATTAAAACTCAAATACAAATTTGCACACGTTATAAGATGATAAATAACTTGCCCGAAAGAACTGATAATTTAACAAATTTAAGAGCATGCCAGAAGTTTAAAAGACCTTTGATACAGAGATGTTTAAGGATTCTTAGAAGTAGAGAATAAAGTCGATTTGTATTAATTCCAAGATACTTCATTCTTGTGAATATTAGAAACATAACATTTACATTAGAATTAATGCCCTTTCTACAAACCAACTTCTCATGAATATTTTTAGAAAATGATGGTCTTTGTGACTCTTTAATAATTTTTAAAATATATGAGTATATGCATATGCATATATAAAAAAATATATGCACATAATTCAGAGAATACAAGACGGCAGAAAGAAGAAAGTAAAAGTAATCCATAATGCCCCAACCTAGAAATAGTCATCCTCAATGTTTTCTTGAATTTCTATCAACTTTTTACTAGACATATATATAAGTTTTACTGCTCTGGTTGAAAATTTGAGATATTGTATATAAAATTTATATTCTTTATTATATTAGCCTAAATTATATCATGAGAATCTCCCAGTGATGTCATTTTTTTTTGATGGCTTGATTCATTTCTAATAGCTGGTTGGAATTTATTAAACCATTTTCCTCATGTTGAAATTTAGAATGTTTCTAATGTTTGATATTACAGAAACAAGTAAACATGCTGAAACACATATGTATGTTTGAATAGTTGATTATTTCTGTAGAATAGATTTCTAGAAATGGAATTGTTGGAACAAAAGATCCAGTTTTTTTTTAAGGGTTTCTGACACATATTACCAAATTGCTTTCCCAAAAGGATGTATCAATTACTACTGAAAATACATGAAAGTGCCTAGCCACCTTAGTCTTACCAATATTGAATGTTACAATTTTTAATCTTATTTTATTGATAGGATTAATTATATTTACATACATGTATTACTATATGACATTCTCATAAAGTGAATTTAGGCATGCTTCATGACTTCTAATGTTGCTCAACACTGTCCTCTGGTTTTGTTCATCTCTATATTTGCCATCATCTTTTCAATCCTATGATGATGATGATGATCATGATGATGATGTCAATGATAATAATGATGATATCAAAGATAACTAACCTTTGATGGCTACTGTTGTCCATATATCCATGCACTCTTGAGGGGCAGTATAGTTTAATAGAAGTGAATAGATTTGCTAACAACAAGATCTACCTTTGAATTCTGGCTCTCCTTCCTATCATCTGATGATTTATGACCAAGTCATGCCTTCTCCAAGTCTCAGTTTTCTCTTCTCTAACATAGTGAGATTGAGACTGACACTGAGCATTGCCTGGGAATCACATAAGATAGTGCAGGTAAGACACTTAGTAGAACAGCTGGTGCTCTGTGGGTGCTAGTTTCTTTTCCTCCTCAACAATGTTGTCGGTTAAAGTGTCTACTATAATAATTTTGTGAGTGCCAAAGAAACACTATTTAAAGTTGAAAATCTTGTGAAAATAAGAATGGGATAGCAGAAAAATCTCAGACTCTGGAGCTAGAAGGCAGAGGTTAGGTATAACTGCCTGTTTCCAGTTGTGCCTCATGTAAATGCAGGTGACAAAATTCATTTTATTAGCTGGTTGTAAGAGTTAAGTGTTAGAGACAGGAAATAGAATTAGCTTAGTTTTCTAAGCTTCAGACAAAAAGTAAGCCAAACATTTACAATAGTGTTTAGTATACTTCTCTTTTACAATAAATTTTACTGAAAAAAAATTTTTGTAAACCACAAAAGTAAAAAAAGGAAAAAGAAAAAACTAGTAAGATCTGCTTAGAAAACAAACCAAATGTAGTTTCACATACTCCAATAATGAAAATGTTGAGGATGTCCTGAAAATTATTTAAATATACAGCCACCTAATGTCAGCTTTATATAGGTGGCAGGTAGAGGCTTCAATGACACCATGTTATAATTATGGTTGTTTAAATAGAATTTTTTTTTTTTTTTTTTTTTTTTTAGCAAAGGTGATTATTCTCTTTTAAAGAAGGCTTAGTGGCTCTGATCATTCAGATTTGCAGTAATCAACATTATTTGGCTTCAGCAGAATAGGAAATGCAAAGCAGCTGTTTTTAGCATCTCACAGAAGTTTTAAACTTTTCTTACACGCTCTCCATGTAAAGACTGAACAGGTAATGGAAAAACGAAGGCACTCTAATTTTTCTCGTCCTTCCACCTTTTCATTTTCTGCTAGACAATCGCCTATGGTAGATAAACAGCAAAACAGAAAACTAACTTAAAATCTACCTTTTCCCAGAGTGAAGCAGGTCAAATCCTTCATTTATTTTTTCAAAAGGTAAAACATGGGTTATTAATGCATCCAATGAAAACTTCTTAGCCATAAAATCAGCCACAAGTTTTGGGACACATTCTTTACTCTTGTAGCCTGAAAAGAAGACGGTATCATAGTTAGATTCAACAAGGTTAAGTAGGAGAATTGAAGAGAAAATTTTCCAAACAAATGAAAGTTTAGAAAAGGTGCTGCTTCCAGACTGCAATGACTGAGGTTAATAAGAGATAGAGTACTTCAGTAAGCTTTTATAGAGCTCAGACTTAAAAAAAAATCACAGATAAACAAGGGTCCCTGGTTATTCTCTCTCCCACAGAGAAATCATGGTACTGATGTTATGCCCAAAGGAACATATTTAACAGTTGTCTAAATTTGGGTGTAGATATGAAATATCGTTGTAGATTTCTGTGTCTTACTAGAAATTCCCATGCCTTACACAGTCCCAAGTACAAAAACAGATGGAGATGAATGGTCTTTGTTAATAGTGACATCAGAAATGTCTATTTTGGGAACTTCTGCTTGCATTAGTTCCATATCTAGTTGATTTGGAGACTATAGATAGAAAATGAATTTTAATTTATTTTTGATCTGCTCTTCAAAACCTTTCCTTATCACTTGTAAAAGGGGAGATATGCTGAGGTTAATGAGAATTTGGCTCCGAGCCTAACCACATACCACCAAAAATAGCTCCCTTCCAGGTGCGTCCAGTCAGTAGCAGCACGGGGTTTATTGAGAGGTTCTGGGAATCAGGAGGTACCCCTATGATGACACTTGTGCCACATGCCTCATGACAACATAACAGGGAAGCCATCTGGAATAAAGTGAACATTTAGCATCCTTAACGTGGAGTGGCATAGTTCCTACTCATAATGCACAATATCATGTAATAGACTTAGCTGGATTTTGAGTGTGTAGAGGGAAGAGATCATGTCTTTTGCTCCTTCATTCCCCTTTTTTGCATAGGATAGTGCTGTGGATTTAGGAAATGCCCAGAAAATGTTTTTTTAATGAAAGAATGGATGAATAAATTGGAGTGCACTTAATTCTTCCTAATAAAGGAATAAAGAGATAGACATCATCACAAATATATATTAAGTCCAGTTCCTTATATAAGCATAGAATTTCATCATCACATAATTCTTAGGCAATCTGTGAGTTGGTTAATTCACTTTTCATTGATTTTTTATACAGGTATTTTGAACCCATTACTTTCAACCACATATTTTAATGGGAAACAAAATAAATGATTATATCACCAAAATTTGTCTCTTGTCCACTTGATGGTCTCCTTTTTTAACATACTACAATTCTACTGTCCATTTCTCAAAATGGACATGTTTTAAACATTGTTTTTATCTCCCCAAATATATATAGGTTTTACATTAAAATACACTGATTATTAGGGAACCTCAAAGGACAGTTCGGAAAGTATTTTCCAATCAGCTTTCTGAACATGTTCTATAGTTAGAAAATGGTTTAGGATTGCCCCAAGACATATAATGATTAGTTCTTTGATTTTGGATTCTGGCCTTTGGAAGACCAGACATCCTCAGAACATGTGGCTGTGAGATATTTGGTATCTTGAGATAAGGTACACTCCAGTTCCACATGAGAAAATGGAGGAAGGTATAGAAAAAGAACATTAGGAGAAAATCTATGGCCCTGGAAAAAGTTGTAATCTCTTGACACTTCATTCATCTGTGGCATTTGTTCGAGGTCAAGGCTGCTGAGAACATTGATCTCAGGGTGCTGCTCTGCATTACCCACACTGCTGGACCCTCTAGAAAATCTCAGCAATGGAAATGTGTTGGACTCTGGAGACTTTTTCAGTAGGATTCTAGAGAACTCTGGGTAGGTGAAATATAGCTAGAGATGTGTTTCCCATTGCAATTGATATTTGTAACTGTTTGAAAGTAATACCATGCAATAAGCCAAAGATGGTGTAAGTACTGCAAGATTGGAAATAGTATTTCATATCAATAATGCCAACTGAGGCTGGGAATGGTAGCTTGTTCCTATATTCTCAGCATTTTTGGAGGGTAAGGTAGGAGAATTGCTTGAGCTCAGGAGGTTGAGGCTGTAGTGAGTTATAATAATGCCACCGCACTTCAGCCTAAGTGACAGAGTGAGACCCTGTCTCAAAGAAAAAGAGAAAAGGACAGCTGACATTTATTGGGAGCTTACCATATGACACGTGGCACTGTGCTAAGTACATTACATGCATTGTCTCATATAATCTATAAACAATGCCATGAGTATGTAGCTTTGAAATTTGGGGGGTGGTAAACATCTGTTGACTTTTGAAAGTATTCAGTCCTACTAGTATTGGGTACTAGTTTTGTACCAGGTACTGTCCAGTTTCTGTGATAAAATATAGTGATGCATTTGAGCAGTCACTTTCCTTAGGGCATATTTTTGTTAATAAAACAATAGTTGGCCTAAAATTGCTCATTTCTTTTGGCCAAATACTAATATGTAAAAAAAAAAATTGGAATTTATTAAGAACACATGCAAAATTATTAAATCATTTTTGTTAAGAATGTGGAAGAAAAATAAAACATTCCAATTTGAGAACAGAATTTGTATTATTTATGTTTACTTGAACTTATAATTTTTAATTAAAAATTAACAAAGTTATCTGTAATCGCTCAGTTAAGAAAAACAAGTCCTTTGCTTTTCCTCTAGAGGAAATATGACTTGAGACAGGTTTGCATAGTTGATAGAATAAAAGATTTCTCATAACAATAAATTAAACAAGCCAGGTAACAAACAGATGATGGGAAATTTCCATTCATCATTAAAAATATCCTTTATACATAAAACATATATTCGGCAGCCTAAATGCATCCTCCAGGTTGCAGAGGCAGAAATCTCAGGGCATGTCACGGTACATACCATGGTATCAAGCCGACCGATGACTTCAAACGAAAAATCCACACCTCCATCAGTCATTTCCTTTAGCACCTCCTGGATGGGTTTCTTGTAGTCTTGAGGGTTGATGCATTCAGTGGCACCCAACTCTTTGGCCTTTGCAAATTTGTCCTTGTTGATGTCCACCGCAATGATTCTGGCTGCTCCAGCTGCTTTACAGCCCATAACAGCAGATAGGCCGACCCCTCCCAGGCCAAACACAGCACAGGTAGAGCCTGGGGTTACCTGTATTTTCAGAAAATGCAAGAATAGATTAAGGAACGGTTGTTTGAGAGTGACTAAGCTTTATAAGGTGCCATGGCTAGTGTTTATCAAGAGCTGCTCAAACTCTTCTGTTCAATCTGTTAACAAAAACTCTTTTGGTTTCAATTGCTTTATTTTTAAATTCAGGGAGTTGAAATTGTTGAGCGGTTCTCAAACTGATGCATATTAGATTCATCTGGGCAGGTTTAAAAATATCCCACAGTCCAGGTCACAGCCCATGTCAATTAAATGAGAATCTCTGCAGGTGGAACTCAGTCCCCAGGTGACTCCAATGGGAAAGTCAGGCTGGGAACAAGGGGACTGGATGATCTTTGAGATCCAGATGGCAGTGATTACAGTCTTGAAGGGACTCTCGATTGCTGAAATCCCTTGATAGCCAGTTTCAGTATCTCATACATACACAAAGGCAATATTTGAAAAATAAAGTAAATGGAAAAGGTTACTCCAAGAGACTGAAAAATATTCCACTTAAACCATCAGTAATTAACTCCTTGGTTCATTTATGTTCAGTAGTTGTGAGTAGTATATTCCTGCTTTAAAAAATACACTAGTGAATAACACAGCAATGAAATATTAGTCTATATTTTAATAATAAAATCTATTGTTATGAGTATCCTCAGCTTCTCTTCTTGGGTAGGCTCACTTAGATCACCCGTTATAATAGATGAGGCAATTGAACAAGGGACTAAGAGCTAAAGTCACAGAAATTTGGAAAAGATGCCATCTATTTTTTCTTAGTTGGCTAGGGGCTATTTATTAAACCTAGTCTCCCATAGTCTGCCTTCATTTTGGGTAACATCCTCTTCCTGTTCCAAATAATCTCACTCTTATATTCCCTTAAGGGTGTCCATTCATTCAATAATTCATTCTACAAGTAGTATTCAATGCTATGGGGGACAACACCAGTTTCTATCTTACTTACAAAAATACAAGGCTTGTGACTGTGATTTAAAAGTACTAATAATTATGTATCGTGATCTAAGATTCAGCAGGAGATTTGAGAAAGATGAAGCAAACGCTTCATTTTATTTATTTTTGCTATCTCAGAACTTAGCAGAACCTATGGTGCCTGAGGCATGTGTAGGTGCTTTCCAATTGTTGAATGAATTACTAAATGAGTTCTCAGGCCTAATATTTCATGATCTCATAAAGAGCAAATACAGAAGAGTAATTGTTGAAAATGAAATCTTTACATTTTCTTAACTCTCAACAACTTTTTAATCTGATAAACACATGAAATTTCTAGCATGTGCTCTCAATTCTTTCTGGATTGTGTTTCTATTCTTAGCCAACATTCAAAATCTACAAAAATAATCTTTGATTCTTGTGAGAAATTGCTTCCCTTTGGGTTCCTGACAGTCTACGTGTAACTGTTTTTATCATCTGTTGTCATTCTTACCTTGGCAACTTTGACTGCAGACCCATAACCAGTTGAAAATCCACAGCCAATGAGACAGACTTTCTCCATGGGTGAGGCTGCGTCAATTTTGGCTACTGCATTCTCATCCACCACCGTGTACTGAGAGAAGCTGCTGACACCGAGGAAGTGGTGGATGGGCTTCCCCCTGCAGGTGAACCTGCTGGTGCCATCCTGCAGGGTCCCCCGAGGATTGCTCGCACTGGGCAGTGCAATACACAGACACACAAAGGCATGAGACAGGAGCATAACTAATGTGCAAACTCAATGTCTGTGCAGAGAGAGCATCAGAAACCTACTCGTTTTTCAAGCAGTAGTTCCTTTCCGGGGTTTTACAAATTCTGCATTTTCCACACTGAGGAACAACGAGTGGGATGACTTTATCACCTGGAGAGGGATAAAACAAATTCTTTTACAATTTATATCCAGTATTAATAGAGCATAAACTTAAAGCTCACATGTCTTTGAAACATTAGAAGCATGTGTCTTTAAAAGTCTCCAAGAAATACAGTCCAATCACAACTATGTCATTTGTCGTTTCCTGCCACAGCCTTGTTTCCAGTTTGGGTTTATAAGTACCTCAAGATTCCTAGAGAGGAAATGCAAATATAGGAAACAACATGGATTAGAAAAATTGCTTCCACTGTATTAATAGTTACTTTTATGTAGTGTATCAATTTCTCCTGGAGGCTTTACAAATGTTTAATTTAATCCTTAACTATTTAAATCTTAATGTAAGCATAAATATAAATTTTAGTTGAAAGTAGGGTATAATAGTGCCACTAGATGTTG